AAAAAATAAAAGCCTAAATTCATACACATAATCATTAACCATGTTAATATTTACTTCACATTAGATTCAGATTCGAAAGTTCACTAAGTTCCCAATCATCATCTGAATTCTCATATGTTGTAAACCTAACATAATTAATCATATAAGCAAGCTTATCTTAAATCACATAAATTCAAGACAAATATAGAATTATTCAATAACATGAAATATTAAATTATTAATTCATACAAGTATACATACAAGTTAGTCAGATATAGACAACTATTATACATATTATCACATTAATTGCCGCTTATGAATAGGAATGGATGAAATAAAAATTTTATGCAAGTCATCAGGCAGTAATATTTTTGCTCTTAGAACTATTGGTTTGACCAAATTTATTCTATTACTGTTTCTCATAGGCAGTCCAAGGGAACGACACATAGTCTTCTGAACCTTCAAATCTATGTACTTATACACAAACTCTTGAACTGTCTTCCTATAAGATCCTTTTAACTTGTGGTCAACTTCTTGCCATGATTTATCAAGCAATTCTTTATGGAAGTTATAATTATATGGCAATGTAGACCATAAAGCCCTATACTTCTCTTCATCACTTAATAGACCACCAGCCCAAACAACTTCTTGAATTAACTTAGTAATTCTAGTAATATATTTCACAAAATTTGAATGATCATCATCTTGTTCATTAGATTCCATCGACAGATTGATCAAATTATCAATCATAGCCTTCACCCTTCTTCTTTGGTCCTTTGTGAAAACTCGTTTGGGTGTCCTTATCATCACCATAACTTTCTGTTACACGTACGGAAAATATTAGAATCACCATAAATATACATATACACACATGTATATGTTTTTATATATTATATATATGCACAAATGTATACATTAAAATGGTGACTAACGATAGTTTATTAATACATGTATTCGTTTAAGTTACTTGTTATATTAAATTTTAAACCAATGTTAATAAATAGATACATAGTCTACCATATCTAAAGAGCAAGCAACTGACGGGAAAAAAAACGTCTTTGCTTGACTGTTATTTAACAAAAAAAATAGTCTGTAATTACTTGCCAGATAACTACTATTAAAGTTTAAACTACAAGTTTAAACTACAAACGTGTGACATAAAAATCTGTAAGTCACACGTTTAAACCTTTATACTTAAACCAAAGTACTGTACTAGAAACAAAATTCTTCACAGTGTGAAGTTTGAATTGATTGATAACCAAGAAAATTGGTTACGTATTGCCAACAAATGGCAAATCTTCAACCCATTTATAATAAACTAATGTCACACTACACTTATGTGTTCTTTACTGGAAAAAAAATAGCAACACTTAACTTTATAACCAATTTACATTATAATGTAAATCTATCTTCACAAGAAAAAGGAAAACAAAAAAAACACAAAGTTCTAAAATAACAAAAAAATTCGGCGACAGCCTTCATTGTGCGGATTACCAAACAGAAACCCATTATAATCTTTATGGGTTTCACTTCAATTAAGATGAAAACAAATTTCATCGTAGTGACGCATCAACAAGTTTTGGAAAAAACTATTTACTGTGCGTTTCTTCAATAAGAGGACAAACTGTCGCTTCCAATTTTCACATTGTAAAAAAAAAGAATATACGATTATGAAACTGACTAGAAAACAAATAACATAGGCTCTTGATACCAATGAAGATTTAAGTCAAACACATAGTTTGCAGGATCATTGTATTCGTTTCACTAGTCAAATAGTTCAATCACATGTTAACACATGAATTAAACTATAAAGTTTACAGTCTATGATCGTACCTTGTTACAGAAATTCGTTCCAAGTGTTTCGCAGAAGAAATCTTCACAAGACCTTCACCGGAACTCTTTAGAATTTTGTGAGACAAGAAAGAAAGAAAAAATTCTGTTGAAGAAGGAGAGAATTCGATGATTGAATTCTCACACATGCTTCTCCTTTTATTGAACAGATACACACAACAGTTTAGAGAGTCCTAACCGTTGTGTCTCTTCTTTTATTTTAATTGGATATTATACATATATAAATATATTTACTTATTAAACATGGACTGGGTTGGCCCATACGGGTGGCCCATGTCTAATTTCTTTCATACATAATGTACACTTGTACTAAAACAATGTAACTTAAATAAACGATATAGTTAATTTTTAGATGATCATTATTTTCGCTGTAACAGTTGATTAGTACAACTGATCATGTGATTGATGTGCCTCCAAAAGAGTACTGGGGTACCTTTTGTTTGTTGTTTCAAGTCTTGAAGAAGATATGGATTCAATTAGTTCATGAAAATGAAAATGAATAATATTCCTATTCCTTGTTTAATGGCGGATCATATTGAAAACAGATAGTGATTTGTGATTGAGCTTTGACTTACAAAATTGGATTTCAAAATAGCAGAAGATTAGTACTAAACTAAGCATCAAATGGCTAACAACCAAATGAATGCTTCACTGCTACTATGGTAACACATGCATGGACACCGATAAATAAGATATTTTATTGTATAAGTGACTACTTCCTTCAAAATAAGTTTCATGAGACAGTTATTCCAAAAGGATATGGGCAATTTGGAAGAAAGTGTGACTGTTGTGGTGCTCAGCCAGAAGAGAACTTCCCAGCTCTATGGGAATTGAATTCAGACCAGCAATATACTTTTGGGAGGCATGGTTAAGTCTAGCTACAAAAAATTCTAGGTCTGCATGATCTTTTTGAATATCCATCTTCTTCTTCTTTTGTTTCACGATATAGTAATTAGGGAAATTTAAATGGCCATCTTCTCCAGTCTTATTTCGATTTGAAGAGGTATACTGGAAAAATATTCAAATCATGTAAATTGAATCCTCAGTATCCTCATGTGTGGCCACTGCTGAAACTTGAAGAGAATAGTTCAATTCGATCAGAACTATATAATACCAGAAAAAATCCAATGAGGATGAACTAACCAAAAAAATCAACAACCTAAAATCCGCAGCTTTAATTCCAAACCTAACGCCAAAGGAACTAAGAAAGAGGAAACAAGAGAGACAAAGAAGAGAGGGAGAGTATAGGGTAAGGGGGTGGGGGGAGGTGATGTAAAAGAAGAATCTGGGTTCTCTTGCCTTGTAGAGAAAAATTTAAGTTTTTGAGCTTTACCCTAATTTGCAATAGAGTGTTTTTCTCTATTTTGTCTTCTTTATCCTTGTTTTTGGTTCCAAGCAGGGTGGTGATAGTCTTTATCTTGTTTTCAATTGCGTGTGGTGTTTCTTTATCACGTTAATTGGTTCCAAGTGGTGACTTTAGGAATTGTTTGAGTTCTTGATCATTCAAGAACACGTTTCTTGATCTAAATTCGTTCTTTTGATATCATAGAATCATAACTTTCATTGAACTGGTGCAGCATCAATATTTACTTGTTTTAAACGAGTAAATAGTCTTTCTTATAGTTCAAATCGCCATCTTTCACCTCGTTTTTGAATCATCAGATTCCTAGTCCTAAAACTTGAGAGACGTTGTTTCTTGAAATTGGCCCACAAAATTACGTTTTCGTTTCAAGATCTTGATCCCGGTCGGTTGGTTCTTTGTTAACTCGAAGAATCACATCAGGAGGGGTTAGGGGTGAGGGCTGTGGCGGAGTTAGAAATTTCGCAAAGGGTGTGCAAAGTTTTGTCTCAATTGTGATAAGGGTGTGCAAAAACTAAATATATACTTATAATAGCTAACATTTAACCTATGTACACCGCATAATTTTCCGACGAAGGGTGTGCACTTGACCACCCTTCGCCTAAGGTGACTCCGCCCATGGTGAGGGACATATGTCATCCAGAGGTAAAATGCATCAACCTTCAAGAATCGTCGAGTTTATTGCTAATAACAAATCATGTGAACATTTTGTAACTACCTCAAATTAAGCCTTCAAATCCCTACTCTAACTAGGGCTGTACATAATTTGGTAAACACCGAATTACCATACTAAAATCAAAATTTTTGATATTTGGTATTTTGATATTTGGTATGGTATTTGGTTTACATTTTAAAAAAATTTGGTATTAGGTATGGTATTTGGTATTTTTTTTAAAATACCGAAATACCGATACCGTACCAAAATATATATTAGATTAATTTTAAATGTCTTGTCATCCTTGCAGCCTGCAGTTACCAGAGTGCTTAAGGAGAATGTTTCTAGTTCCATATTCTTTAGTTAAAGCTTGTGCGCCACCTATTTTTGTCTATGTGGTTAATGGATATTACCCGAATGATTTATGTAAACAACACTTGTGAAAAACTTAATTTGGTCACATTTGAGAAGCTTACTAGTGTCTGGTATATTACGGAGATGTAAGTTAGAGCTTTAGACCAGACATACTTACACGTTGATGAAGTTTGTAAACGTTATTCTGATCTTATGCTCTTGTTTATAGAAGTCCAATATATGATGTGTAGTGTTATTGCATTCATAAGATTGATTTTGCTGGTTAGTTAAGGTGTTATTCTCCCTTAAATATAACGTTCAGAAGCTGCTTTAGAACCGAATAAACCGAAGTTACTGTACCGAATAAACCGAAACCGAAAGGCAAAAAATCGAACCATACCGAATTTAATTAGGTACGGTATTGGTATAATATTTTAGGATATCGAATACCGAAAATACCAAACCGAAACGTTTAAATACCGTACCGTACCGACCAACGAACACCCCTAACTCTAACTACCTCAAAATTTTCAATTTTAAGTTTGGGTCTGGGCTCAGCACGGTCTAGCTCTTAACTAGTACTCTTGATAAAAGTTATAAGTCGTAGTAATCTATTGGATAGGATAAACATAAATTTGTCTTGATTGTTTGCAGCATGATAAATGGGGTACAGCGACATGCCGTACAACAATAGCGTGACAAGCCATATTAAGCAGACAGATCTCAGATCCATGGCCGGGTGGTACCATTTATAATAGACTAGAAACACACACTTAAAGTTCGCTCTAGATGTCTCTCTCATGCTTCAACATACCATGTGACCATATAGACACTTTATATTAGTTTTAGTATGTCTCGTAAATACTCCGAGGTGACATGAAAAAATGAGTGTCTCGCTCATATTTGAGCATGTGAAAATGCATAAAATTATATTTTTACTTTAATTTTTTTCATGTGGACCCCGTCTTCTTCATCTCCAATCAAGCCATAGCCACCATCACCATGTTTGATCTTTTCTTGTTCTGAAAGATGGATTTCACATTACCTTTTTTTTCTCTCGCCTCACCATCTTCACTTTGCCACAAGCTCATCTTCTCCATTTGTCTTCCACCATATGAGCTTTACCAAACTTCACTCTAATACTCAAAACAGCCATGTACATAAGCTCTTTTAAGTCAAAAAACGAGCAGCCCCATCACTATCAAACAACTCGCACACAGAAGTACAAAAACACCATGTAACCATCACCCATCTTCTCAACCTAAAAATAACAAAAAATTTGTCAATTTGTCCAAAAGTAACATGAAGAAGAAAGAAAAACCTCGTTACCTCCATCTCCTCGTAAACAATATCTGGATCATTCAAAAACAATAACATTTAACATTAAGAAGAAGAAAAATCTAAACAGTAACATTCCCGGCGAAAAAAATCTAAACAATAACATTTTCGGCGAAGTTTCTTTTTTTCTCAACAATAACGAAATTAATTTTTGTGACTTAAATCTGGAAAAAAAATCAGATTTATATCTCAAAAAAATCCGACGAAGCTTCATTTTTCCGGCGAAGTTTCGTGAATCTAAAGAAGAAGAATCAGATTTGGAACTTTCAAAGAAATTTCGACGAAAGCTCCAACATGAAGAAAAAGAACAAAAAAAAGATCAAATTTCTGGAGAAGAAGACAAAATTGGAAAAGAATGGCCGGTATTTAATTTTTCCGGCAAGGAGGGGTCGTTGGGGAAGATGATGGAAGAATTGTTCTTTTTGAGTTTTTTTAATCAAGTTATTATTAAGGTGATAATATTTTTATTTTGAAATTACATGTGTCATTATTTCATTTGTTGACTTGACATGTCAGCAGAGAGTGTATTTCACGCAGGTAGACTTACAGACACAGGTGTCCACGTGACACATCTGTGCTAAGTTGAAGTATTTATTGGTCACCTGGTAAGTTGGAGTGTGAGAGAGACATCTGAGGCCAACTTTAAGTGTTTGTTTATGTATTTTGCCTAAATTAAATATTTCTAAAAAGGTAAAAGTTACTCAAAAGATGTATTCTTTTATTAAGGTCAAATACATAAGCAATTTCTTAAACTTGCTCCTTTTTTTGCCACTTAGGGATCGTTTGGTAGGATGCACTAGATAAAATAATGCATGCATTAGTTTTGTGTATTAATGATACCTTGTTTGATAAACTTTTTGAACATATGCATTAGTTATGCAAGCATTAGTTATACATCATATTTGGTATTATCCTATGCATAACTAATGCATAGGAAACCATGGTATTATGTTATCAATGCAATGGGTTTTAATGCATGTATTAGCTAAATTAAATACAAAATTGCCCTTCAAAATTTATACTTGATTAAAATATATTATTATATTAATGCAAGTTTGAATGTAAAGTTTAATACTAAAATTTCTCCCGCTATTTATATCAATACACCGCCAATTTCTTCATTGTAAATTAATAAATATGTACTCTACTACTACGTATTGGAATGCACTTGTAATCAACTTATTTTCCTTTTATTTTTTTAATTCAAACTTTCTTTGTCTAATATCCTAGAAAGTGAGAAATAAAATTATATCCCTAGTAGATAAATAAATACCTAGTATATTTCTCTTTCATAAATAAATATTCAGTTTTATACTACAATATATATAGGTAGACAAATCAAATAACTTTTTAAAATATTTTTCATATAAAAACATTACTCAACATATATTTCTTTTAAAATGATAAAGTGATGGATCGGTTATAAAGGTATTTTTGTAAACAAACAATTTTTTTTGAAATTGTACAATGCTTTAATACATCAAATCAAACAATGAATAAAAAATATGCATAACTAATGCAAACATAACTAAATACACTCTATTCAGCATTCTTCTTATGCACCGTACCAAACGACCCCTTAAATTAGACTTTGTTCCTATTGAACACCTAAACTAGAACCAAATTGTATCTGTTAAACACGCACGACACAATGTGGAACGGCTTAAGTGTGGCTCGTGGCAAAATAAATAAATTAATATGTGACGCGTGGAATTTTTTACATAAAACTATCGTTTTACATTATTTTATTTCAAAATCTCCTCCCTTTATCGTCTTCTTGCCCTTCCCCCTGCCCTATTTTTTTCTGTCTTTCCCAACTCCACCGATTATCATTGGTACCAGAATATACCGACAACTATGGCGTGGGAGCTTATGAATGAGCCTAGATGCACATGCACATCAGATTGTGCTTTGTCCTTTTTAGTTCGTCCTTTCTCCATATCTATGCATTTATACAATGGCTCAAGTTTTAAGAAGCAAAGTTTAAATCAATGCATATTCGATGTCCCACTGTTCCAGCTTTTTCATTTGGGGAACATAAGAGTTGCTGGTGGTGCTTTAATTTCCGACCGACGGCAAAAATTTTCGGTGGTTGTGCGGTCAATTCATTGTCCATAGCCTCCAAGTATAGCATATCGGAGTTTGTTCTAGGTAATTTATGTACGAAATGGGAAGATATTTGTGGTGAGAAAGTAGCGATTTCAAGCAAATTCTACCCGTGGTTGGGTTTCCCGGCGAGTAATTCTCCGGTGTAGGCTTTTTTGTTTTTCCGCCAAAAGTTATTACTGATATATTTGTGACTTTAGAAGAGAGAAGAGATGAGTAAGAGGGCGAAGGATTTTAACAAGAAGGATGAGGAAATTTTCTTTGTATTGTATTCAAAGGCATGTATATATACAAGTATAGGTGTTGAAAGAAATAATGTAATATGAAAAACTAAAGAATATTCCCTTTACACTTGTTATGTTTTCATTCCTACTCCTATAACAAAATAACTAATTTTATTCTTCTACTATGTATTCACATGTGTGGGCATGTGTAGAGAAGCTTCCAGACCTCTCATTCTTGTGAGCTTAATATGCCATATCGACGGCTCAGATTAAGAGCAGCTGAGGGTCAAGATACTTCCATGTGTCTCATTATTTTAAGAGACCAAACTATACACTACATAGATAAATCCGAAATCCCTAATATTCTTGTTTGAAACCCATCTCTTTCCCTTTCTTCTCTTTCCCTTTCTTTCTTGCATCGATCAAAATCTCGATGCCTTCTTCTCTACATCCCCCCTCAAGTTGGAGGGGAGAGAATGAACCCCCAACTTGTGTAAGAGAAGATTATGTGAAGCTCTCGATAGAGGTTTGGTAAAAAGGTCGGCGAGCTGCTATTGCGATGGGACGAAAGAAAGGATTATTAAACCGGAGAGATACTGTTGGCGGACGAAGCGACAATCGAGCTCAACGTGCTTCGTTCGCTCGTGAAAGACAGGGTTACGGGCGATGTGTATCGCTGCTTGGCTGTCGGAGTGAATCGGAATAGGAAGAGAAGGTGGAGATGACATGTCTGCAAGAAGGCGCACCAACCGGGTAATTTCTGCAGTAACTCGCCTCATAGGCCTATATTCTGCCTCTGCAGATGAAAGTGATATTGATGCTTGTTTTTTCTCTATTTTCAGGAGATCGGAGCTCCACCAAGCATGATGAAAAACCCACTTACGGACCTCCTAGAGTCTTTGCAAGCCGCCCAGTTGGTGACACAAAAAGCGATCAAATCAAAAGAAGGATCTGAAGATAGGAAGATTCCCTGTGAAGGATCTGCAGATAAATAGCGTAGAACATGCAAGCCAGCTGTGAAATGAGAAAGGCAGGGCCTTTGCATAAATTAACTGAGGCAAAACACTACAAAGGACAAGTCAGGGCGGGTGTTTGTGAGGTAATTAAGCTTGCCCACCAAAAGCCTGTAAAGACTGGGATCTGAAAGAAGAGGCCCATCATGAGCGCAGAGCTTGGAATAAGGATCAAGTGATGAAGAGACAGTCGAGCCAGAGTAATCAAATTCCTTCAAAAGATCCAAGGTAAATTGCCTTTGACTAATAATGAACCCCTATTTTTCTCGAAGAATTTCCATGCCTAGGAAAAAATGAATGTCTCCTAAATGTTTGACCTTTAATTCTGTATTGAGAAAATCTTTAATTTGATTGTTTCCTTCAATGTCACTACCTGTAAGCAAAATATCATCGACTGTTATGATAGAAATTAAATCCCAGATTGTTTGTAGAATAATGAATAGTCATTGAGGGAACTAGAATAACCTTTATAGCTAAGTGCCCCAGCAAGCCTCGCATACCACTGCCTAGAGGCTTGCTTTAAACCATACAGTGATTTTCTCCATAGACACACTTTAGTAGGATCAGGAGGGGATAAGCCAGCAGGAAATCTCATGTAGACTTTTTATTGCAAGTCTCCATGTAAAAAGGCATTGTTCACATCAAGTTGTGAAACAGGCCAACCTTTCTTGACTGCTACTGTTAAGAGACACCTAATTGTGCTCATTTTTACCACAGGCGACAAAAGTCTCTGAATAGTCAATTCCTTCTCTTTCCACAGGCGACAAAAGTCTCTGAATAGTCAATTCCTTCTCTTTGTACGTCCCCCCTTACAACTAACCTGGCCTTCCGCCTTTCTATAGTGCTGATAAGTGGGGATTTTGATACTTATTAGCGCATTTTAGCTTTTTATTTTAATCTAAAAGCATTGATTGTGTTCCCGAAATTGATGAAATATGCTAAATTGCAGGAATGTTAGAAGATGGACTCCCGAGATGAAATCCGACTCAAAAAGGAGTAATCTAAACTCAAGGCAATAAAAGGCACAGAAGCTTACAAAGTGCGGACTGCAGAATTCCATCTACGGTCGCAGATGTTGAAGGAAAGCACAACAGACTTTTGTACAAATTACAGACCGCACATGAATTGTGCGGCCGCAAAAGCTGGGCTAGGAACAAAGTTCAGAGAATGTGTAAATTCCCAAGTTCCAAGTCCCTCAGAATTGCGGACCGCACAGGAATTGTGCGGCCGCAGAAGTAAAGTTACGGACCGCAGAAGACCAAATTACGGCCGCAGTTTTAAATCTGCGAACCGCAGAAAGACTGCCTCGCGGCCGCAAATCAGAATTGTGTGGTCGCAGACCCCCATTTCGTGACAAGTTGAAGAAACCTGCAGACATCACATGGAATTGTGCGGCCGTAGAACCTCCCGAGGGGCATTTTTGTCCGAAATTGTCAGCTTTGTATAAATAGAAGAGTTTCACGAAATTAGGTCAACTTTTGACATCAGCAACTACAGTAGTCGTTTCTTTTTGCTTCTTTTAGTAGTTTTTGCATATCTTGGGATATTTTAACATAGATTTAATCATTTTGATTTTACAA